TGCAGAAAATAAACCTAGTAACGGGATCTTAGAGAACGCAAAACAAGGATAAAAATATATTTGATATACGAAAATAACTGTTTCACAACCAAACCGAGTCAGTTCGGAGGCACGTCCAATTCGATTATCCCAACTTCTTGGTTCAGTACGGACGTCTGAAACAGTGACAAAACATATATGCATATGTTTTGTCACTGTTTCAGATACAGTTACTACTGATAAACTTGTCCCAGTGCAAAGTCGAAACTTACTGCCAACTGATCCATGCGCGTTCTCTGGGCCAGTCGGTGACGTGCGTTACCGAACCACTTTTGGATTTCTTTATCCAAATCCTGTCGGCAACAGTCTTTGGAAACTGGGTTACCGAGAACTGTTTCTGAAACGACAGTGAGCAAGCTATCTTTGATCACCTACCTTCGATTAGGGTGCAGAGTCTTGTGTGGCGGAAGGGAAGTTTGTCAACAGACCCGGCGTAGGCGATACTGACGGCGAATTCGTCAGCCAACGCCTGTCGGAGACACAGGCGCACTAGGTCCGCCATGGTGGCTGCACTAAAAGATCGGAAGTATTTCATCTGTGGCCAAAAAATGAGATCAACAACACTGAATTACCAGTTCAATCTGGCGTGGTCCCTCTGCCAGCTCACTTTCCAGTTGGTCCCACGAACGTTTGCTCCGGAGGGGAAAAGTAAAGCCGGTAGTTCCAGAAGAACTATGGACTTGTAACAAAGAGTTGTCAATGCGGATCTCCGGGTATCGAAGATCTTCCGCCATTGCGTCCATTTTCCGATGCAGCTGTTCGTTCTGCTGAAGCAGTGCTGCGATTCCTGGGGTTTGGAATAAAGGGGCAGATGGTGGGGATAAAACTGGAAACATAGGGATCTCCGGCGCGGTGTTTAAAACGTACTGTGGCAGATGGTGCACCGTCTGCGGCATCGTATATACAGGCTGGTTGGATGTGGACGGGACGGGTGCGGGATGCTGGGGTATGGGCTCTGGAGTTGAGTGGAACAAGGCACGGGGTGTCGCCTGCGAGAAGCTGGAGTAAGGCGGGGATTGTGGCACCATCAACTTTGGTTTTTTCGGTGATGGACTGATGGAGAGGGAGGGGCTTCGTTCTCTGGTATTCCTAAAAGAAATCTTGACAACACGCACGGTAGTCTTACTTTCGACGAGGATGGTTACGACCCATCTCAATGGTTACATCCGAAGTCTCCAGGTCCGACGTGTACTGGAACTTCCTCTCATGTTCACGGGCCTTTTTGAAATCGTCTGAAAAGTTAATGCGGTCTACATGACACCTACCGTAAGTCCGAATGACTTCGCAATTCAGCTTCAATGATCCAGCTGGTGGCTGTATATGAAGGCGAACAGCCTTATAAAAGTCCTTCGAGTGAATTTTTGGCCATGTAGCACAGTTACCCTCAATCCATGTAGAACTGAGGACTGCACACTGCCATAGGCCTTGTTCATGGAACTTCACAAGACTGTAAGCCTGATACGGCATATCAAATTATAAAATTATTACGGTATAGAGTGCAATAATGGGAAAACTACAAATAAGTCCTTGACTGGAAGCATGGCGCACTTGCATTGCACAAAAGAGAGGGGACAGCTATTTACAACTGTGGACAATTTGTTCAACACAAAAATACTTAGCAAAAGAGAATTAATGGGATGGGTGAAAAGTGGTGAAACGGGGGAAAGAAATGAAACATACTTAATTATGCAGTCGGCCGTGTCGGGATGCTGCACCTCTGTCACAATGCACGGATAACCATCTACCAAAACAACGTTGTCCGGTGGACTGGCAGATAAGGCAACTTTACCGAGATTAAAGAAACGCTTTTTGTTCAGTGATGCTTGTTTCAAAGGTAAGCCCGCATCGCAATCGGCATGGTAATCTGGGGTGTTTGTGAGATACGATGCTGACTCCTGCAGGCGTTTATAAATCTGCCTAACAGGATACGTGAGACTTTGTACAAGGCGCTTAAGTGTGAACATGTAAGACCCATAAGGGAATGCTGAAAAATTGTCCAGAGGCCCGTGAGACGAGACGTCATCCGGTAAATGCAGCAGACAATGGACATTGTACACCATCTCCTGCAAGCCATACAGTTTTTGGAACTTGTTAACAAATACTAGCAATAATTATCGTGCATAATCAATGTGGGAAACAGAAAAGCGACGATGAGAAAGAAAATACACGGATATAAATAGATCTATGAAATTTTGATAACGTTCATGGGGAAGAATGTCCTTAAACACAATGGGACCAATGTAAAACAGCAGCTGACGAAACTCAGTCGCTTTCCACTGTTTGTACAGTGTAATTTCCCGGCACTTACGCGGGAATTCCACGGGCATATGGGCACGTATATTCCGAATCATCCGATCTACCCTGTTCAAGCCAGCAGGCCCGATGCGTACGGGTCGATCACCGTTGACGAAAATGGAAACTAATCTACGGACAACACCGAGACATACGGCGTGCATATAATCTATGGGAAAGCAGTGAACGAAATCAATGGGTAACGTAAAGAATGGAGACGGACTGTTTCGAGTATCCCGACGTATACTGTTGTCAGTTCGCAGAACATGCTGCCCATATGGAAACGTTATCTTCGTTTGGAAGTATTGTCCCTTTATGCAGCACTTATCACAACCATAGTAGGAATTGTGTCCTCTCATTCGTGTGACGAAGGAGCGTGCCGGTTTGTCGCAAATAATTGCATCCAACACGACCTGATGATGCAGGTCATTAACGACAACTCCCAGACGTAGGAGATCTTCCAGTTCCTGCACTACGTCATGCAGGTATGTACAAACGTCCTCGGGTTTACGAACTCCTCCATAAAGCCCAACAAGGAATACCGGGCTAGTGAAGGGCCGCACAATACGTGCTAGTATAGGCCAGATTACGGTTGTACCGTTATTGTGCAGCTTCATCCCATCTACATTCATATGTAAATGGATAATATGAGGTTGGGGTGGCAAGTACATTGGCACAACCCGGCGAAGCCCGTTCGCAATGCCCAAGTGGATGTATTCTCCTGGGGGGACTTCTCTAGTTGGACATGACCGGGGTGTTCTCATCAGTGTCCGCGCGTCTCGAGGCAGTTCAGGAAGCTTATGCTGCAATGATACAAGCAGGCGATTCACGGTACTGAAGGGGACATTGGTCGAAATCATCCAGTCTCGGAAAATGTCCGCCAAACTAGGCTGGAACATATTCTCCTCTTCATTATCCGCCTCATTTTGTTGTTCATCTAATTAGAACATTAGTCATCTGATGGCATTTTTACTGTGCGCTAGTGAATCGATCTCCTGATCTGCACGGTGAAAGTCGCGTGCGTTCGTCGAATTGGGTGGTTGTTCCAAGGCTAACTCTCTAGCACGCTTTAGTTTACGGTTAAGTGTCCACCTTGAAATGAGCAAACCACGTTTGGAAGGCTACAGTTGTCATACGTGTATCAGCAGTCATGACTTACCATTCCTCCAGCTTTTAAAAAGCTGAAAATACGGCTAGCAGATAAATAAATTTGCGCACACCGGTGATGGAGACAACCAACAGTAGGCTACAGCTTACTGATCGTATACGATCAGTTTTCAAGAATCGTCGCCTAGAAGACACGGTGGAGTAACCCAGAGCACTGTGAATCATCAAGACGGTACCGGGATCTCATACGCGTCCTAACTACCACAGTAGCGCGTGCTGTTGAAAACAGCGCTGAAATAAGACTTGGAAATACAGCCTTCTGGAGAAGTGTGCTTGCAAGGTAGCTTAAAACGGGTTCACTTCACTGATGAGATACCATGGTTTGCCACTTTGTGAAAACATAAAGCGCTTGAAACTGTTGTTTCCACACGTTTTACTGGAG